TTCGAAAGTGGCGACAGTTTCGCAGATCGCACCACCCCAGGGATGGGAGAACTCCTGGTGGTCCGCGTGAGGTGTCATCCCGTTGCACCCCCCAGAAGCCCTCGAAAGGGGCGACAGTTTCGCAGACCCCATCCCTGCAATGATTACCAGGTAGGAGGCAAACTGGCATGCAAAAGGGAGCGAGGTAAGAGACAGGCAAGAGTGATGAAAACAGGGATAGAGAGTGGGATCGATAGTGGGATCGACAGTGAGACCGATCGAGTCAGACGTTGGTTCTTCTCCCCCCCGAACCTCCTTATCACCCGAAGGGTGGTCGTACAGATATAGATATAGGCATATAGGTATCGCCGCTCAACTAAGCCCGTAAGGAGCTTTGCGGGTTGGCGAGGGCCCCCGGCTCCCCGAGAGCCCCCCGGGGAGCCCGAAGCGGCACCGGAAGGCCCCAACACGGCACCGGACATCCCCAAAAAGAGCCCCGACACGGCCCAGGGAGGCCCCGAGGCGGCCAACGGCAGCCCCGAGCTGACCCAAGCTGGCCCTCCGACGGCCCAAGATGCTCCCAAGACGGCCCCATAACATTCAGGAGGGAAAGAAACACACAGACACAATTAATTCTCGATTCCCCAGAAAATATGGAAAAATATGGGAAGTGAGGGGGAAGACAAAAATCGAGAAAATACAGGAAAATATGGGGAATATTTTTATTTGTGTGTATTTATTTGTGTGTCCTGGAGCCCCTTCAAACATGCCAAGACGCCCCGAGATAGTTCCGAGGGGACACCCTGCAGGGCACCAGCGGGCCGAAATCGCAGAGTTCCTGTTGGTTTTCTACGGGTTCCGAGATTCTCGCGCTCTCGACCGTCCGGACCCCCAAGACGGCCCAGGTCCCTCCAGGATCGCCCCGAGGCGGCCCAAGAGGCGCCCACGAGAGCCCAAAGACAGCCCGGGAAGGGGCCAAAAGGTCCCTAAGACGGCCCAATGAACCCCCAAGAGGCCCCTAAAGTGGTCCAGCGAGCCCCCAAGAGGCCCCCAAGACAGGCCAAGAGGGCCCCGAGGCTGCCCACGAGAGCCCCGAGACGGCCGAAGATGGTGTCAAGGCGGCCCCGGAGGGCCCAAGACGCTCCACAAAAGAGCCCCATGAGGACCCCCAAAGTGGGCCTGAAGAGGCGAAAGTCGTCGATTTCACGTGGGTTGTCGATCGCACACCGCAGTTTGCTGGCATTTGCACACTACAGACAGAAGCGCGCGTCGGCAAACTTCGACTCAAGCAGCTCCGTGGATTTAATCCACGGGCCCACGTTAGTGTGCGTGTATATATATATACCTATACGACCACCCTGCGGGTGAGAAGGAGGTGAGGGGGGAGGGGGAACCAACGTCTCACTCAATCGATCTCGCTATCGATCTCACATTCGATCTCATTATCGATATCACTATCGATCTCACTATCGATCTCACAATCGATCTCACAAGCGATCTCACATTCGGTCTCACATTCGGTCTCACTGTTGACCTCACTATCGATCTCACAATCGATCTCACTGTCGATCTCACATTCGGTGTTACATTCGGTCTCACTATCGATCTCACAATCGATCTCATTATCGATCTCACAGTCGATCTCACTATCGATATCACAATCGATCTCGCAATCGATCTCACATTCGGTCTCACAGTCGAACCCTCATTCGGTCTAGGTTGGGCGGGAGGGGCCCAGCAATGGGCAACATCGTAATTGTTTCCCTTCCTCTTTCGAGCTCGCGCATCATCATCACCATCATCACCATCATCATCATCATCACCATCATCATCATCACCATCACCATCACCATCACCATCATCATCATCATCATCATCATCATCATCATCATCATCGTCATCATCATCATCATCATCATCATCATAATAATCATCCACCTCATCATCGGGACACCGACGGGACACCGACGGGACACCAGCGGGACACCGGCGGGACACCGCGCGCCACCGGCCGCCCGGAAGGGAAACATTTGGTCCGGCCGCGCCTCAGCCACAGGAGAACCGACGAGACACCAGCGGGACACCGGCGGGACACCGCGCGCCACCGGCCGCCCAGTGGAGAATCATTTGGCCCGGCCGCGCCTCAGCCACAGGAGACTTTTTGCCCGCCCACGCAGCTTCGCCTCGCCCGCACGCACGGCACGCACGAACACGAAACCGAAATCGATTTCCCGGTAGGGGGGGCTCTCCGTTCCACTTCGATCTCACCCCCTCACCTCCGATATACATAAATAAATATATCTATGTATATATATATGTATATATATATATATATGCAGGGGGGCCCGGGCCCCCCGAAGTGCACTGATTTATCTTCCGGCCGTTTCGGGCCCACCGCGCGGCGCCAAACAACGTCAAAGGGGGCCGAGAGACGTCCAAGAGGGCGCCAAGATGGCCCAAGAGCGGTCGAAGAGAGCCCAAGATTGCACAAGAGCGTTTAAAAGTTTGTCCAACATGGCTTACAGACAGCCCAAGAGGGCTTCAAGACGGCCAAGATGCTCTCAAAAGGACTCCCAAAAGGCACCCAGCATGCGAAACATGTTTGTTATTTCGGTGGTGTTTGCATGTTGTTCGTGTTCTCGCTCATTCGTGCTTCCAACCGTCCAAGACAGCCCACGAGGCACCAGAAATCAGATCAACACCGCCCAAAAGGCACCCAAAGAGGGCGCCACGACGGCGCAAGAGAGCCCCAAGACGGCCCAAGGCGTCCCAAGAGGGCCCACGAGTCGCCCAAGATCGTCCAAGAGGGCCCCAAGAGGGGCCCAAGAGGGGGAACACGAGCCGACAATTCTAGCCTTCCGCCTCAATAGGCCTCCAGGAGGCCTCACGAGGCCCCCAACAGAGCCCAAGAGGCCCCCCAGAGGCCCCCTAGAGGCCCCACGACGCCCCAAAGAACCCAAAACGAGGCCCCAAGCGCACCCCAAACGGCCCCAAAGAGGCCTCCAAAACATACCGGTGCATAGCAAAGGACCGCCTAGCCTATCGTGGCATCGCAGCGTTGCATGACATGACGTGGCACGGCACAGCACGACAAAGCTATATGTGTCAGTGCAGACTATAGTATGGTTCAGCACGCCATAGCATCGCATTCCATAGCAGCGTCTAGCTGAGCATAGCATTGCACGTCACGACGTAACATTGCCTAGCATGGCATTGCATCTCATGACACATCGTGGCGTACTGTGGCATTCCAATGCACAGAAATTAATCGAAGAGCACCGTTCTGCTCTGCGCAACAGAAACAGAAAGCATGCAAATATCTCACGCGTTGCTCTTACTGTCGTCCTGATTTAGTGTAGCCTAGCAGCTCATAGCATGGCATAACATTGCATTGCATTGTATAGCACCGTATGTCGTGTCTGTGCATACCATGTAACGCAGCAGCATCGCTCTTCAAAAGGAAACGTAGCATGATATGGCTCAGCGTATCATCCCATATATTATCATAGCAATTCACAGCATGGCATGTCGTGTAATGCGCACTGTAGAGTATATCGTTTTATTGTATTGCATACTGCATAGTGGCGTTGCGCTTTATAGCGTAGCATAGTGTACCATGGAATCCCATAACATAGTGCAACATGGCGCTGTAGCGCTGCATTTTTCCCAGCCCACAGCTTGGCGAACCAGTCGACCGGTCGATGAGAGCGGAGGAGGAGGAATGAGGGAGAGGCAGGAGGAAACATAATGTTGATTTCATTATTCATGACCCGCTTGTTGTCTCAATGCGGTCAGCACTCGACCAGTTAGAACCTAAGCGCGCGCGAAGCGCGCTCGATGGTTCTAGTACATGTGCATATATATATATATATATATATGTGATTCGTTCTCTCTCTCTCTCTCTCTCTCTCTCTCCCCCCCCTTCTCTCGATACACACATGTATAAATATCGCTGGTTATACACATATATACCTATCTTCCTTGTTTACCTGTATATATGTATAACATCTTCACTCCGTACCAAGCTTCGCCCTATGTTGTCTGCTATGTGTCCTCTATGCGTACTAATACCATCTCACTCACTCTGACCTTTTCATCGACGGTTCAATAACATATCTGGTCGCGAATTCTCTCTCTCTCTCTCTCGCTCCAATCCTTCTGGACCGTGGCGCTTGGCCACAACCAAGACATCCAGAACCCCAGAACCTACATTGCTAGGAATCCAGGCACCCGGAAGCTGGAAGCCGTAAGAGACCTCACACTGCCAGGGACCCTGGAATCGGGAGCCAGGATATCGCCCACCGAACCGAGAACCCGTGAACTTAGCCAGCTTTACACTACCGGGACCCCCCCGAACCAGGATCCCGGGAACCCACCTTACGTTACCGGGAACTCTGGAACCGGGAGCCCAGGAACCTAAACACCGTGAACCCGCGAACCCAGCCGCCTACCGAAATCGGCCTAGGACGTTCGCCAAATCCGTAAGTATCCGCGAGGACCTCTTCAGTGCAAGAAATGGTTCGGGGAATGATTGTTGTCTTCTCGCCGAGGCCTTCCGATGGGTCGCAACCCCCCCCCGTCCAGGTCCAGGGGAGGGGATAGGGGGAGGGGTAAACACTTCTCCGAAGAGGAAGGAGGGAAGATGAAGGAGGACATGCTTTAAAACACAATTCACACCCGAAAGTAAAGGCTGGTGGGATTCCCCCCATACGCGCTCCTGCTCCTGCTGCGCGCAATCATCCTCTGGCCGGGCCGCGTACGCCTCGGGTCGTTCCTTCGTTCTGTGAGGGGCCGCGCGCCCTCGCCTCCTGCCGCCCCCGCCCGTCTGGGGTCCTCGGTCGGCGCGCCGCCTCGTCCGCTCGCCTGGCTCGACCTCTGCCGGTCCACCCCCTGGAGCAACCACCAGTCCTCGGCCCCCTGTCAAACGACGCGAAGATCGGGACAACATCGGATCGGGAGAGCTCGAGATCTCTGAGGATCGGCGGGTTTGGAGGATGTCTTGTGCGCCGTGGCCGCTCCGGAGCGTTCCGGAACGCTCCGAGAGCGCTCCGGAACGCTCTGGAGCGATTCATCCCGATGCTAGCCCTGTTTTACCCTGGCGCTGTCACGGACGGGGCAGGTCCCAGGGCTTGGGGCAGCCTGGCCGGCGGCGGTAACGTTCGGCTCGCGGCTCCGTCGCTGGTTGCATGGCGTCGGATGTCCAGGGTGGGGGGGCCGCCGCGGGTCGTGGGGGGGCGGGCGGTCCAGTGCCGTCTTGCCCGAGGACGCCTGAGGCCCCCGTGTGGCGTCATTTGACGCTCGATTCCGATGTTCTGACGATCTTCAGGAGGGAAAGAAACACACAGACACAATTAATCGTCGACTCCCAGGAAAATATGCAAAAATATGGGAAGTGGGGGGGAAGACAAAAACCCAGAAAATATGGGAAAATATGGGGGATGTGTTTATTTGTGTGTATTTATTTGTGTGTCCCAGTTCCCCTTCAGTCCAGGGTGGGGGTTCCGCCGCGGGTCGTGGGGGCGAGCGGTCCAGTGCCGTCTTGCCCGAGGACGCCTGAGGCCCCCGTGTGGCGTCATTTGAAGGGGCCCTGGGACACACAAATAAATACACACAAATAAACAGATTCCCCATATTTTCGCATATTTTCTGGGTTTTTGTCTTCCCCCCCACTTCCCATATTTTCCCATATTTTCCTGGGGATCGTCGATTAATTGTGTCTGTGTGTTTGTTTCCCTCCTGATCATTTGACGCTCGATTCCGATGTTCTGACGATCTGGTGCAGCCCGATGCATGCATGGCGCGGTTGCGCATCCAGGCATAGCCGGTCCGACTGAAGTTCGATTCCGTGCCGATGCAGCCCGATCCGACGCACACTCCGATGTCATGCAATTTCCCTTCGATGTTGGCAGGGAGTCAGCGAAGTCCGGCGCCCCCCAGCTGACCCTGGCTGTTTCGTCACAGGGAGGTGTTCGGCGTACCAAATTTTCGGGATCTCTCGGGCTTCTCCAGCAGATCCCCCACAGGCCTACAGTCCTGGAGAGCGACCAGGGCATGTGTTCAATTTTTGTTTGACGACCAAAGATCCGGCCAAGGCACCGTCAAGACGATTGGAGATGAACCCAAAGTTTCCTACATTCAAGACGGCTCCCAATTTTCCAAACAAGGCCCAAGATGGCCAAGAGTAAGAAGGCCCAAGATGGTTCAAGGACGCCTCAATAGTACCTCAAGACAGATCACGATAGGCCCAAGACAGCCCAAGAGGCTCCCAAGTCGCCCGAAGAGTACCCCCAGAGGCAAAACCACTCTTCAAAGCCACAAGGGATGTTAGACGATTTGTGCATTCATAGCGCCCAAGACGGCATGAGAGGCTCCCAATATCGGCCCAAGAAGGACCAACAGGCCCCGAAGAGGGGCCCAAAAAGCCCAAGAAGGCCCAAGAGGGCCAAAGACGCCCAAAGTGGGGCCCCCGAAGAGGTTCAGCTTAATCCAAGAGAGCAGCAAGACGGCCCAAGAGATCCCCAACAGAGCAACGAGACGGATGCACTGGACCCCCTGGACGGCCTCGAGGGGCCCAGACGGCCCCAGAGCGCCCCGAGACGGCGCAAACGGTTCCAAATCGGCCGAATAGGGCCTCAGGACGGTTCCAAGGAGGCGAAACAAGTGCCATTTACCACCGGCCCCAGCGCTACCCCAGTCGTCCCGACAACATTTCGGGGAATCAGACCAGTCGAGCGAGTTCACACCGATGATCGGCCACAAGAGCCTGGCGGCAGTGACTCGCCGTAGGCGTCTTCGATTCTGGAGTTTCCTCGGGCTCAGCAGCAGCAGAACACATGCCACTGACAGCAATCGATGGCCACACAGGAGTTGTGAGCTCCAAGGCCAGGGTAATTGGCGGGTCGCCACCGACTAAGGTTGCTGGTGTCTTCCCCATCGCCTCAAGTTGCTGGCATCGGCAGCTGATCAGAGCCCACGCCAGAATTCTTTTCACCCCCCCAAGGAGTACTGAGCTCCAGGGCCCTGGCAGCCACCCGTTCCTGCTGCTCGTGTCTTCCCCGATCGCCGCGGTGTTCAGGCACCAGCAGTTGATAGAGTCCGCGCCGGACTTCCAGGCACAGCCCCGAGCCGCCTGCGGCGAGATTGCGTCGCGGGCCCTGGAGGCGCACGCGGGGGCCGCGGCCGCTTCAGCGCAGTGCACGGCCGTCCAGGTGTGCTTCCTGCCTGACCGAGCCGGTGCCAAGGACGTGGGGGCCCCTGAAGCGGGGGTGTCGGACAGGGGGCACCAGAGCCTCCAGACACTTGGAACCCGCCGAGGAAGAGATCTCCGAGAGAACCTCTGGAGACCTCCTGAGGGCCTCCGGCCCTCAAAGCACGCGGCCGCTCGTCGAGCCTCTCCATGTTCTTCGTTGTCTCCCCCCTGGGGTATGGCACTGTGGACGGGCATTGAATCCTTGCACGTTCACAGGACTGGCTGAGGCGCCCGGGCGCACCCGCCGTTCCCTGCCCGTGACGCCTTCCGGGCGACATTGGCATTGGCTCTTGCTTTTGCTATCCTTGGGGTTTGGTACGAAGTGGCCTTGACGTGTCGACGCGGCGGCGATCCTAGCGCGGTCCGTCAAGGTTGAACGCGTGGCCCGGAGTCGTCCGATATAGAAGTAATTCCTTTGTTCAAGTTTGCATGATCCACGCGGTGTCAGAAACCAACGCCGAAGTCGTTACGACACGAATTTGCTGTACCCGAAACGTCCCCGCGCTTGTGATGCCGCCCGCTTGCGGGGGGGGGGAGGGGCGAGGACGACGGCAAGGGCGTGGAGGCGCAGCCTGCTGCCAAGAAGGCGAGAAGCGCCAATGCGCCGGGGGGCAGCACCCAGAGCATGAGGCTGCGGCACATCTTGGTCACCTTTCAGGAGGCTGGCAAGGACGCGGACGACCGAAGCTGCTCGCCAATCCATCGAAGAACCCCAGAAAACACATGCACGTGAAGATTCGATTTCTCGGGTTGGCGCTGAAACCCTGTGGCGAAGGTTCCACCGCCCTTGGCGCACGGAGCGCGCCAGGAGAGGGGCCCAGCGCTGGCCCAAGAGATTTGCACGGACCTCCAAAGGTGTAGGTCTATATGCCGCTATGTTTGCTCCCCAACGTAGCCAGGGATGGTGACATCTGGCCTCCGCATCTGGCCCTTCCTGCCTTCCCGCCCGCGCCCCCACCCCCATCCCTCCACCTGTGCGCGCACCCTATCTCACATCCTTCCTCTCCTCATCTATCGCTGTCTTGGCCTAGGTATTGAGCCGTGGCTGCTGGCGAGGATGGACTTTGCCGAGAGTACACACCTTCGTCATGTCATTCTCTATCCTGCCGACCGTCGTCCGAGTGGGTTAGGCTCCTTCGCCGGAGTGACCTTTGGTGCGCGGCTTTCGGGGTGCCCGCTGGGGGGACAAATCCAAGCACGCAGGCCGTTATTCTCGCATCGCACGCGTCGATCGGTCAGCCGCGCACCAAAGGTTTCTCTGACCCAGGGTATCTCTTGCGTGTAGCCGAGTTGCGGTCTGCTGGAATGTGTGTTGCATGGAGGAGGTCCGGGGAAACGCAAGACTCGAGTTCGCCAGAACTCGGGTTTGCCGACGCTGCTTGACGGGCCCGTCCTGGTTATTGACGGTCTCGTTTTGCAGGATAATTTCAGCGAAGTTCGCCTCACATTTCAGTTTGAGTCTAGTAATTGTTGTTGACGGCACCGTCAGCCCAACCCGAGTCCCCCGAACCCAAGTCTTACGTCACCCCGAAGAGAAACAAGTAAAGAAAATAACATGACATCGCGTGGGTTGCGTCCATTCTCTGAGGTCGTCATCAAAACTTGCACCCTACACCGACGCTGGCCAAGCCGATCTTCGGCCCAGGATCCGTGCATCATGCTCTCCTCACTACGCCAGGAGGGCGGAAACGCCGATCCATGGGCCCAACATGAGTCTGGCCAGGATCGGTGCAGTTTCTGCAGTTGGCGCCCTCTTGCCTTGGGCGTTCGATCTTGGGCCCCTTGTGAGACGCGCCCGTCCAACTCTCGCGCAGGGGGCGGTGAGGACCAGCGGGAGGGCCAGGGGCCGCCGAAGACCGCCGAAGGCCGATGGTGAAGGCTCGTCGTAGTACGTCGTAGAGCCTTCATCGCGGCGCCATGGTTTGATCGATCGCGCTGTACGTTAAGTCAACACGCAGAGCACCAGAAAAGCCAGCGGCACGCCGCAGAGTTTCTTTTATACTCGTGAGTTGGAGTCCGCCAGTTGCAGTCCGTCGTACATGTATACTACCAACATACAGGGTAATGTAGCATGACAGCATGACCATTCTGAAGTTCACGGGGAGCTGTCACGCAGCAGCGTCCTGGGCGATGATTGGTCGATTGGGTTCCAGACTTGCTCGTCGGCGTCGGCGGCAGAGACCTATTTTCCGAATCGTTCCTCCCCGTGCTCTTTTGTAATGTTTCCTCGCCCGTGGCCGGCCAACGGCACCGGCCCAATCGCCCCCCTCCCCCGAGGAGGCGCCGGCCGCGGACGGCCGAGGAGAGCAGCACAGACAACGCGCACGCCCGGAGACGCGGCCGCGGGGGGGGGGAGGGAGAAGCTCCGGCACGGCGGCGACCGCCCTTCAGGGGCAACGACCTGGGAGGGTGGAGGGGGAGGAACATTTCGGGTTCGGTGGTCAAGGTTTTCGAGCGTTGTCGTCGGTTCCTGGCGGTTTTCCAGCATCGGGTCTCGGGGTGCTATCCAGCAGCTGCGCCTCGCCGAGAGCGTTTCAGGGATCGTCGCGGCCGCCAGGGAGCTGAGCTATGCACGGAGGTCCGCACGGTGCGGACGGCGACCGTGGCGGCGCTGGTGCAGAGTGGCGGCGTCCAGAAGCACGGCCCTGCTCCCAGGGGCCCCTGGAGCGGGCCGCACAGGACCTCCTCGAGGTGCTCGAGGGTGCGGCGACGGGCAGCAAGAAGAAGCACCAGGACTCTCTCGCACTCGCCGAGGCTGACGGCCATCCGGCGTGTGCAGATGGCGCCGTTCTCCCTATCGGCTTCTGCAGATGGCAGGGCGAGGAGTTGTGACGCCGGAGGCCGCGCTCCGACATCCAGGGGGGTGGCAGCAAGCAGTTGGAGGCTGCAGCCGCCTGAGATCGGCGTCACCCCAACATACTTATACTATATGCGCGTCGCCCCCCCCAGGGGCGGCGCGCGCACCGAGAAATCTTATAGTATACGCGGCGTGGCGTGCGCTTTCTGGCCACACCGCTCGGGAGACGATATACTACAAGACGGGTATACTATATGTTCGGGTCGGACGCTCGCCTCCAAGGAGGACATATAGTACTAGTATGTCTCTGTGCTTCCCATGAGAGGCGGAAAAGAGGGAAGGGGAAAGGGGGGTGGGTGAGTGGCCGTGGTGCTTCTCAGGCCGCTGAGCTTCTTCTGGAAGCCAAACCCACCCACTCCCCGGAGCCCAAGTTTTGAGCATTCTTTTTTTGGGGGAGGAGGTCTGAGTCTGGATGTAGGAAGTGAGCCAGTCGAGCTCTGGATGGTGGGAGTGGCCATTGTGTTCCCACCGTCAAGGGCGGGGTGGCTCGCCCCGCCCTCCAGCTTGAAGGATCTCTCGTGGTTGTGATGGTGCGGGGAGGCCCCTCAGCTCAGTCGGCAAACGAGGGTGCCTCAGACCGCCTATGCAAAGCTCCTGCCTGCACAAGCGGCCCCCCGAAAGATCCTTGATAGGTCTTCAGGGCGAAGACAAGTTTCAATCTGAATGTTACAAACTGGCGAATCCAGCCAGGAATTGCCCAGCCATCTCGCACGAACAGACGAACCTAGTGCCCCCAGAGGTCGATTCCGATTCCGATTCCCGGTGCCAGATCTCGTCGCTACGCCATTTGGTGATCTGCCTCGCTGGGTACCTGCAGCGCTGGCCATCATCCCCAGCATGAACTACAACGAGCTTCCGAAGATCGGCAGCAACCTATGGCATCCTCCTCAGGAGGAGAAGCAGTTTATGGTTGACAGCTGGGGGGGGGGGCTGGTGATGGGCCAGATCAAGATCTTCGGCGAGGCCGGCGGGGGAGAAGATATGGCGCGCAAGTTGGAGAACTTCGGCGAGTTGAACGGTGCAGTGGGGATTTTCAGAGGCTTCGTCGAGAACCCTCCACCAATTGGGGGAACCGTCTCCGAGGCCATGAGGGCCGCGGTGATCGTTGATCACTGCGCCGCTGCTCCAGGACGGACATTCCAGCAGAGAACGGCGAGATACTTCTTGGACCGGAAGAAAAGTACATCAGCGCCCACCGGAGGAAGTCTTACAAGCTGTCAAGGAGGAACAAGATGGTCTTCAACCCGGTGGCGATCGACCATTGGAAGACGGGCCACAAGCCCGACGCGACGAGAGACCACCTATTCGACGCCCTCCTCCATCATGATGGTTTCGACCACGTTGGTTCTGGAAACTCAATTTGGGACGAAGGCACCTGCTTTACCCGTGGGCATCTTTCAGGATTCATCGCCGGCCCTCATGCCAAGGGGCTAATTGCGCATCCAACCAGACAGTGGTGGATGATGGATTTGGCACCGATATGCGCGAGAGAGATGCAGCGCGACAAGAAACGTAACGAGGAGGAGGCCCACTTTGAGAATGCCTACCACGGTGCCAGCTTGGCAGCGCCAGCATTTGGAGCACGAAGGGCCTGTTCGAGTTGAAGCCAGGACCTTCGAGTTGTGACAACGTCTGCGGCATTTTCTGCTGCGCCCGCTACATGGTGCATGCGTCGTCTGACGCCAGCCCTGATATGAACCTGTACTCTTGCATCTTCGAGCTGCAGGTGGGTCGCATCCGCTCGCGCAGGCTATCCCAAGATGCATGTCCACAGGCAACGGTGCCAGACCGAAGGCAGGGTCTACGTCAACGCGCCCGGGATTCACGCTGCGACGACGAGGGAGATCTGGGACGAGCAACAGGCAAAGGAGCAAGCCTTGGATGGCACAGGGTCTGGAATCGCACGTTCAGGATGCACCTCTCGGCAAGGGTCATCCCGATAGCGTTTCCGAGTGTCCACGCGTACTCAGATGAGGAGATCGAGGATCCCGACCTCTTGATTATCGAGGTCAGGCTTGTTCCCAAGAGCGAGAGGTGGGCCCCTCACTAGACCAAGGAGCTCAGCGCCGCGGATTGTTTCTTGGAGCGCACTGGCCGTCAGTTTGACCAGCGCGTAATCGAACCGCAGAGTTTCATTGATCAGATGGGGCAGGCTACGGGCGCAGCGAAGCCAGATGACCTCATCGTGGACGTTGGGTCGGACAATCCCGTTAAGGAGCTCTCCTCGATGTGCTCTCAAGTCCCACGTGCTCGTGGAGCTGAACCAGCTGCGCGTCACTGAGGTTCTAGTAGTACGTGGAACGGCTGCGGTATCTACTGCGAGAGGAGCTTCATCTTCTGAGGCGAGGCGGCGTGTCGGCTGCAAGACTGGTAGGAGCCGCGGTTGTCAGGCCCCCGTCGGCCTCTCCTCCTGCGCCTCTCTCTGCACTCCCTTGTGCTCCGCCATATCGCCTCACAAAGGCCCTTGAGCTACCATGGCGCGCCAATGACGGACGCGCCCGCGCGTCCGTAAAAAAGGAGAGAACGTGCTCTATTCCAGCACGGGCCCCCCTATTTGCACCTCGTGTCTCTCTGTGTCCATGCAGTCATTCGCATGCAATCCACAGACTCACTGGCCATCCGTATCCAAGCAGCATGTACTTCAACTGTGAGTATTGTTATTGATGGTTTCATGCTTGTGTTACTCTCAGGTACACTGAGGGCTTAATCTTCTATTCGTCTTAGTACGGGGGTATATTCACTAAGGTGCGCGCCGACCTCGAAGACCTGGCGGGCGCCTACTGCGTGTTCTCTCTTATCTTCCTTTCTTTCTCTTCGTTAATTTGCCGCGGCGCCCGCCAGGTGTCTTTCGAACCGAGTCGCTTCTCTGCAGCCTCCGTACCTTTTCTCGCCAGTCATCACTAACGCTTCACCGTCACGCTAGGGTGAGCCTAGCGTTAAAAAAAGAAGGTGGTAGGGGGGATGAGGGAGGGGGGAAGAACAGGGAGGAAGGGGGGACGATGGCGGGGGAGGAGGGACAGGAGGAGTTTTTCCGCGAATAGGACAGACCATGGCGCCCCGCGGCTCAGCGCCGGTCGATCGATCGTGCTCCAGTTGGGTGTTGCCGACACAGGACGCGGAGGCGCTCATCCGCTCGATTATGAAGGCGATGCGCGCGGCCATCAGGGAACTCAAGAAGACTCCGAAGGATATCGAATTTCATCAAAACGCAGGAACAGAAATTGTCAGAGGACTGCGCGGATTTCGTGGGTTGACCCTTGGCGGCGCCTCTCTGGCCACCAGTGGCGCGCTCCGCGCGCGGGGGGGGGCGTCCAGCGCCGACCCAAGAAATTCGCAACGACCTCAAACAGTTGATGTTTATGCTGGTGTTTTCGGCTCTCCAGGACAGCATGGAGCTCATCAACCTCACCACGAAGAGGTTTTCCGAGCTGGCCAAGGAGCATTCGGAGTGCGAGACTGCCAAGAAGGGAGGCGTGCAGTGCGGGGACCTGGGCTGGCTGAGCCCGGACGACCTCGCGAGCTTCGGCCCGGGCTTCAAAGAGGTGGTCACGGCCCTGGCCCCTGGCCAGCTGAGCGACATTGCTGTCTCCGAGAGGCCGAGGGGGGGAAAACAACTAACAACAAAACATAGGAACAATCACGATTCGCGCCGCCCTGGCGCGGCGAAAGCGCGAGCGAGGGCGCTCAAGACCGAAAACGCCCAACAGCCTGCCCTCGTGGCAGGAGCTTGCGGTAGAGGCAGGGGCGGCTTTGGGATGCAAGAGTACGGCAGGTTCGCGGTTCCAGCAGGCGCTCGAGATCGAACGCCGGCGGCGGCCCAGAATCGGCCGGCACCGAACGATCTGCGCCATCGGAGGTTGACGGGCCCACGCGGTGTCAGGCACCAACACCGAAATCGCCACGACACGAGCCAGCCGCAGTGCCGTTCCTCCTGCTCTCCGGACTCCGCGAGGACTTCTTGGAGCGCCCCGAGTCGCCACAGGGTCGCCCGAAAGCTTCGGTCGTCAACGGCAACGACGGCGGCGGCGGCGGCGACGACGACGACGAGAATGTCCGACGGCGGCCCTTGAAGGTCCCCAAAGACTTGCGGAGGCCTAACAAAATCCAGAAACTTGCATCCTCATTCGTCGACCCCGATATCCGCTCAAAGTCGCCTTCTCCTAGCGGTCCCCCGGACCTCTCCCAGGGTGCGTTTTGATCAGAGTTCGGGGCGCACGTACGGGGTGTCAGCGCTAAGGGAGGTCAGCCAATCCGCTCTGGCTGACCCGGGTTTGGGAGCCATGTGGAGTCGATCCCGCCGTTTTGTTCTCCGATGATTCGGGTTTGGGAGCTTCTGAGCGGCTGGCCAGGGTTCGCGACAGTGCTTTGGTTGACCCGATTAACGCGTCCCCGAAGAGTTTTGAGGAGAATCCAGTCGTGGCGACGAGGGCGCTCCAGCAGGCCAAACAGTTGGCCAACGGCGCCAAGACCTTCTCGGAGAACCAACCACGAGGGTGGGGGCTCTCCCCAGGAGAGGGATGGACGAGCCGGATCGGGTCGGACGCAGGAGGATGGAGGGAGGAGAGGGATGGAGAAAGGAGAGGGAGAAAAGTCGGATCGCGTCGGACGCAGGGGGGCGATGGAGAAAGGAGAGGCGACGACAAATTGCTGCGGCCCCGCCGCCGGGCGCTTCCCTCGATGCAGTGGCGCCTCCGGCGCCAGGTTCGCGAACCCCCCCCCGGTGCCGTCCCCCCATTCGTCCGACCGGAAGGGAGGCTCCCTCCTGGGCGGCCCAGGGGCCTGCACTTCGTGCAGCGGGTCGCGTAGGGCCTCTCCGGCCGCCCCCGCCGACGCGCCGCTCCGCGCTCCCCTTCGGAGGCGGGCCAGCCGCGCGCAGCCGCCGCCGCCACCGCAACCGCTGCAGCCGCTTGCCGCCGCCGCCTGCCGCAGTCGCCAGTGCCTGCCGCCATTGTCGCCGCTGCCGTCGCTCCCCCTCCCCGTGGCCCCCCATCTCCCCCCTCCTGCCTGTGCTGCCCCTGCTGGCCGCCGCCGCCGCTTCATCCTCCACCCTCCAGTATCCTGTTCTTGCTGCTCGGTTTCTTCCCCCTCCTCCTGCGGGGCTGGCGGCCCAACGAGGTACCACGCGGGGCGCGGCCGCCCCCCGCCCTGCCACCCGCCCTGCACCGTTTGATTCTCAGGGGGCACAAGTCCCCTGCGCGGGGCCCCCCGCTCGCTTCGGAGCCGGAGGACGCCCCGGGCAGGCCGGGGGTGTCCAGAGAGACGCTCGGATCTGCATACAAATTCACTCGTAGAGGTCCCGTGAGTTTGGGCTCTGGTTCAGACCAGCCCCCGAAACGCTTTTCACTTTTTTCCCCCAGCCGCCCTACGGTCTCGGGTCCTCGCTTTAAAGAAACAGCGCCCCGCGTCTCCTCCTTCCTCTTCATTCCGCCCTTCTTCTCTCCTCCCACCCTGCTTCCGTCCTCCGTACCCCTCATCGCTATTTCACAATCACCACAGTCATCATTATCAGCATCAGCATCAGCATCATTGCCATCATCAGCATCAGCAACATAATCAGCAGCATCATCATCATCACCACCACCATCGTCATCATCATCATCATGGTCGTAGTCGTCATCATGGTCATAATCAACATCGTCATTATCATCACCAATATCGTCATCATCATCCTGATCATCATCAGCACCATCATCATACAGTCATAATTTCCCTTCCTCAAGATTTCGCTGCCTCTACTACTCCGAATTTCCCTCGCACGTCTGAGTCATGAGTCCTGAGTTCAGCGCTCGTCAGCGCGCCGGCAGCCACATCTTTGCAACATGCATGGAGAAGCTGAACGCGGCCAATCTCGCATTGAGCTCGACCCGGCTTGGTGCCAACGGCGACCAGGGCATGATCAATGTGTACGGGAACGCCGATTACGGCGAGATTTGGGATATGATACACGTTCGTGGCAATGAAATGGATGAATGGTCATTCGAGCCGAATCTCATGAATTACCTCATCTGGCGTCTCAGTGACGATGTTGTACCTCAGACGATTGTGACGGCGACAAATTCTGCAAACACCCCGGCCGACGTGCTGTGAGAACTTGGTCCAGGGACTGCTCCGCGCCTGCGTGCGCAGGCCGCGGATAATCTAGATGCTCACTATTGTACAGACGGCGCTTTTGGGGACCGAGGTGATTCTTTCTCCATGGGGTATGGATGTGGACCTGGGGTCCTGCAATCGGACCTTCTCTCCTGCATTTGCTTTGCCTGATGTCTCTTGGAATGTGCATGGTTTGCTTGGTGTGGTGAAGGCTACGAGACATGCGACGGCTTCGAATCGATGGGCTAAGTTCATCTCCCGTTGCCGCAGATTTTCCTTGGCCTGTGCTCAGGAAACACACGGTCAGCTGGCAGATGCCTCTCACTTTCAGTATGATTTCCGTGGGTATAGTATTGGCCATCGGTTGTTGAAGCTGGTTCTCGTTATGGTGGAGTTGCTATGTCTACATCATCGTCTCCCACTGCGAATTCTGAGTCGATTGCGCACGTTCCGTTGATAACCCGCAGAGGTTTTTATCCATCTGCAGGGGCAAGCACGGCGCGGTTACGATTGTGAACGTACATCGCCCCACTGCGTGCGACCCAATCCAGAGTTTTTCGCACGATCGGCCCCGTATTCTCAGCGGTCTGCTTGAAGCCACCCCGATTCGAATGTGCATGGTGTGCTGGTTGTGACGAAGGCTACGAAGTTTGCGACGGCTTCGAATCGATGGGCTAAGTTTATCTCTCTCCGCCGCAGATACTCAATGGCTTGTGTTCAGGAAACACACGGTCAACTGGCAGATGCTTCCCACCTCCAGCATGACCTCCGTGAGTATAGTCTTGGCCATTTGTCGTTGAGGATGATTTTCGTGTTGGCGGAGTTGTTATGTCTACATCATCGTCACCCGCTGTAGACTCTGAGTCGATTGAGCATGTTCCGCTGATATTTGACAAAAAGGAATTTATCCATGTGCAAAGGCAAGCACGGCACGTTTACGATAGTGAACATACGTCACCCCCAACGCTTGCGACCCCATCCAGAGTCATTCGCAAATTCGGTCTCGTATTATTAGCGCTCATCCTGAGGCCACATTGAGCTCTACACCATACTATAGGCGACTGGAATCTTGTTTTGAAAAAGGAAGGTAGGGCCAGGCAGATGGAGGTGAGTTTCGCCCTAGCGATACATCGCTTTCCAACCTGTTCCAGGCCCGTCGTGGTCACTGGTGTGGACATTACCAAGAATCATATACCCGTCGCGATGTTCGAGCCAGGATCATTTCTCAGACATCGCGGCTTGACTGCGCATGTGTTGATATCCCGTCTGCGTTGCTCGCAGACCTTGTCATCCGCGCGTCCACGATTGCGCGCTGTCAGGACTGCCAGTGATCTGACCACCTTCCGCGCTCGTGATCATCGAGAGGTGCGCCCCTCCTACCACCTTCTGCGCTCGTGATCATCGAAGATACGATCGCAAAGCAGAGGTGGCACAAGCGTCCAATATGAGGATTGCACCGATGTTCCCTTTTTTATATTGTGGGCCGGCTGGACTTGAGCCAACTGGCACACCCATCGCGCGTCCCGTGGCTTCACTGGGAGCTCCACTTAGCACCCGCACGCCAGGGTCCGCAAGGCGTCGCTGTTTAATTTCGGCACACCCCTCACACGCTCCCTCGCCACATCGCGAGCTCCTGCTCAGGCCCAAATGCCAAGGTCCGCATGACGTCGCCGTTTAATTCCGACACAAACTTCACACGTTTCGTGGCCCCACGTAGATTTCCAGCGAAACTCTCGGCGCTTGTCGCTGCTGCGTAGTCGCGCGCGCCTCGCGCGACTACGGCAGCAGCGACAAGCCTGCCCCATGGGCAACCGAGGGCCGAGCGAGCGCCAACGTGGCTGCACAGGACGCCTGGGCCGGAGCCATCGGCACAGCCACCCCCAGCCAGTGGCAGGCTGGCAAGAGTGGACTTCGCGGGATCGTCATGTTGCCACATGGACGGAGTCAGAGTGGAAAGGGCGGGGCAAGCGGCACCCCCCAGAGGGGGCGACCGCTACTCTGACAAGCGCGCCCGCCGGTGGGCAAAAGATGACGCCAACGCCCAAGGCTGACATGTACCGGGCACGGCCCACCTCAGCATCCCTGGTAGCGACCTGGCCAAGGACACCTGCCCCCCTCTCCCCGACGCCCTCTTGCCCCGAAGGGGCCAGTTTCACCTCGCCGCGCCCGGCCCAGGCCGCGATACCTGGAGACAAACTCCGCTGGGGCGAAGGCTAACCCCACGGCGCGGCATAGCTAGACAGCCCACGCTGGACATGTAGACCACCATCCTGTTTTTCGGGCCAGACGCGCCCCCCCCCCCCCCCCCCCAGCACCCGACATCTCACCCACTCGGGCACGGCGGCGCTGTCCGACGACGACAGCCAACCCGCGCGCTGGAGGCGGGGGGTCTGCCACTGCATCCCTCCCCTGCCTGCTTGGCTGCGGGCTCGACCTAGCCAGGTCACAGTTTTGGCATCTATAGACTCGAGCGGCGGTTAGCTGCGACCCTGGAGGACCAACACCCACCATCCCCGTAGAGGCATCAGACTCGTCGCTGACAGGCCAACTTCCAGCACGACCTGAGGTCCAGGTTGGACCACGCCCACCCACAGCCTTCACGGCCTTGTGGTGAGCCCACCCACCGGCACTTATTCTTGAGCGGCGGTTAGCTGCGACCCTGGAGGACCCAAAAGAACAACCGTGTCCCCTGACCTACGGGTTCGGGGCCAGGCCGAGGGGAGGGGTGATGCTTCCCCCCCGCCTCTCCCCTCCGGGGCCGGCGGGCGCCCCCCGCCCTTGGCCCCGGGGCCCGCCGGGCGTATTGTCCGACGCCCGTGGTGTAGCCCCCCCCTCTCAGGGCCGACCGCGCCCCTCGCTGTGCTCGGCATGACTCGTCACTTTCAGCGGCGGTTAGCTGCGACCCTGGAGGGCCACGCGGCGCGTGCTGGCGCTCTCTGGTTCTTGGGTGGGAGTGCCAAGGGTCGGACTGGGAAGGGGCTTGGTCTCCGTTGGCCCTAGTGTCAACACTGCGCAGCTCCCCCCCAGGCGCGTCGCCCCATGGCATCGGCTCGCCTCGCTCGCACAGGCGCCGCGTGCCCCGGGAGGTACAGCCACGTCTGTTCTCTTAGGGATCTGCTTGCCCCTGGTCTGGTTTGGCCTTCAAGGCAACACTTTCACCTGCGCTGCCCCCCCCTTTTCCTCTTCCCCGCTGGCGACGCTCACCGCGCCAGCGGGACCTCCCCCCCTCGCTCAGAGGCCTGACGCCGTGCCGGCACGCACAGCGTGGCTCGCAGTCGCTCGGTCCCCCCTTGCGCTGCGGGGTGGTCTGTCTGATGTTGGCTTCGTTTCGGTGTGGTTCCGCCTTCCGCAGCAGGTACAACACTCCAGGCTCAGCGCAGCCCCCCCTACACTTTCATGCTGGCGATGCTCACCACGCCAGCTGGTTCCCCTTCCTTTCATTCTGAGGCCTGGCGCCGTGCCGGCGCACGGCTCTCCCGCTTGCGCTCGCGAGCAAAAAGTAACCCCACCAGCGCTTGCTCAGCCCCACGCTATGCCGTGCTCTGCTAGGGTGGCTCGTTTATCGTTTATCTCTGGCGTTTGGCGCGACAAGGTACAATTCGTTTGCCTTCCCGGTGGTCTCGCCCCTGGAATGGTTGCACTTCATCCGCCTGGCACACCTGGCACCTCTTGCAGCTCTGCCGTCAGTCCCCGGCGTCGCTCCTCGGCGCCCTTCGGCGGCAGTTTCGGCGGCCGTTAGTTTGCGCGCTTAGGTAAGTAATTAGATTTGGCTCGTAGCCCGGGCTGACTTCGGACGCCGCCTGCGCTTCCGTTTGCGGCTGCGACGGGAAAGTTACCCCACCAACCCATCCAGAAACGATGCCCATAGGAATTGCCTCGATCAGGGAAATGGGCAGCACACAGAGGAAGGGTTCCCCAGTGGAGGCCTCTTGGAGCATCTTGGGGGGCGCCTCTTGGGGGTCTCTTGGGAGTTTCTTGGAGGCGTCTTGAGCGCCGGTTGGGGACTCCTGGGGCCTGCTGGGCGTTTTTTGGGGCCCTCTTGAAGCGCTCTTGGGAGCCTTGGGAGCGTTGTTGGAGCCCTTTTGGGCCATCTTGGAACCATCTTGAGGCCACGAATGGCCATCGGAAGCGAACGTGCGAGAAAACCAAACAGTGTTTTTTTCTTTTGCAAACGTTGTGGAAGGATTTTGGCCTCTTCGGGGCCTCCTGGGGAAGCTCTTTGGCCACTTGGAGCCGTCTTGGAGCGGTCTTGTGGTCTCTTGGAGCATCGTGGGAGCCACCTTGAGGCATCTTGAGATCTACTGAGCCATCTTGGAGGTCACCTTGGGTTCCCCCACGCGCTCCTGGAATCATCTTAAGCAGTACCCCCT